TCTGAGTTGACACAGTTTCATCCATAAATTCCACATTGCCTAAACAGAACTTAAGGTACAGTTCGTTAGTTAAAGATCTAGCCATAAGACCGTTTGCCTTTCACTGTCACGGACAAATTAGTTCTACTATGGACGGAACTGTTCCATCAATACAGACAGTGCTGTAATATTTATTTACTTCAAAAAATTTCATACCATAAAGAAATTAATGTCTCAGGCACAAGAATTTGAAGCCAAAAAAATCTATATGAAGAATGAATTATTGCATGAGCATCAAAATTCTGATAATCGGATATTAAAGTTCAGTTTTAGACATAAAAGAATGAGTACCCTCCAACAGATGGATATACAATTCCTCCATCTCATTATGATACAAAATTACTAAATGTAACAGACTCAGTAACTATTATTAAAAGGACATTTTTAGTAATCAATGGAACTGGTAATATATACACGTGAGTTGTGAAGAACCATAAAAGATGTACAACATGGCTGTAAAATTTTAAATATTGAAGGATGCTAAGCATATCAGATAATTATTCCTAACAAAAGGGTTGTAAGTCAGTATTACCTTACACTTAGTTTGGCTGAAATATGCCCTATCACAACTAAAAATTTGATGTCATAAAAGACAGTTCTAAAAAAACAGATTTTCTAGTAAAAATCCATTATATTGCTTTAAATTATGGAGGAAACATTTTTTTAACTCACCATACGCTGCAAGAAAAAAAATAAAATGTTACATAAAACTAGGCAGACACTCAAAGTAATTGTATGTGTCCTCACAATATTTTACAATCAGAATTTTCTTGTGAATTTCCTCACAACCATAGCCCAAGCAATGGAACAACCTATGGTACTTACATAAAATTATGAGCAATAAAACTCAGCAAAAGCCACGGAACCAATGCTGCTTTCCCTATGCTTATTTTGAAAACTCTTTGATATGAAAAATGTTGTTATAAAATATTTGCTACAACTATATGCACTATTACACATGTAATTGCTTCTGATTTATAATAATGTTCACTTAAATAAAAATACTGTTATATCAAAGTGGCATATATTCTGCAATATAATCTTCTGATATGATACGTTAATCCGTAATTCCACACCTTTCTCTTTACACGTATCCGCTTGCTCCTCAGTAAAACCGGTTTAAAGAATTATTTAGTTTGCAGCCACTATCTGTAATTCTGATTCCTTGTACGAGGAACAGCTCGTCTTCTTATGAAGAAATCAAAGAAAGAAATGACAATAACTGATTCTCTGGCACACATTGTATTTACACATTTATACTAACGGCTTCCAGTATGATATGACTTAAAAAATCTAAACTCACTTCTGTAGTCACCCATATACACCAAATTTTATTAATAATGAAAATATGTACGCACCAAGTTCCAGAGGCGAAGGAATAAGGAACTGAATTCTCGTTGCACACCGCACGCACATTATTGCATCATGGGATATTGCTTCTGTCACTGCACAACAGATTCTGCGGTATGGGATGAGGTCTCGGTGGACGATAGCATAGTCGGAGCACTGACAGTTGTGCTGGAAAATGCCATCTCCACGCTGTTCAAGGTGGCACTACCTGACTGTGTGACAGCAGCAGCACCTGATGTTGATCCACCACCCACAGAGTCAACCCTTGGTTCCACGTTTCCACTCTCCATGCCTCCTGCTGCTGTTGCTGCTAAGTTCACTAGAGACTCTAAGCTCTCTTTATCAAGATGATTTGCCAGTTCACTGAGAGGATCTCCAGTATAGGACATAGGTGTCGTATGATTTGCCGTTTCTCCTGGGGCATTATCTTGTATTCTGTGACGTTTTGGGTCCCCGTAAATAAGGCAATGGATGTTAGGGGAAGAGCTCCTGTCTCTGTGAGTGACAGTCCCACTTTCTTGCTCCTCGAGAAACCTGTCCATATAATCTGTGATCCCTGGATGTAGTGTGTACTTTTTCTTCTCTAATCTTGCTTTGTTGGCAAATATGTCATGCCTCTCAGTTTTCTTCCAAAGATAGTAAAACTGAACCAACTCTCCAACTGATCGTGTTCTCACCTTGTTTTGTTGGATAAGATGAAAATCTTTACCATAACTGCGAAGGCCATTTTCAAAATTTCTGCATTCTTCCTCAGACCACAAGCTCATGGTGTCAGTCGGTGGTACAACATTCATACGCCGCCTTCTTAAGGCTTCTTCAATGTTATAACCACACTGAAGTAATAAGTAGAGGGCCTGTTCGTCATCTCTCGTATGAGTCCCGATAGGTATAGCATTTACCCCTTGCGCATTATTCACAAGGGGTTCCTGTGCTTTCACGAGAAAATCTTCCACATCCTTTTCAGACAGAGAACTTGGGTTCCACAACAACTTATCTTCATTTTCATAAGGCAGAGCATCATCATACTTACAAAGACCTTCAGGAATTCCTGCCTGATAATCACTCCCAACCATGATTGTCTTCCGCCACTCCTCTTCGTCTGGGCTGTAATCATAGTCCTCCTCCTCTTCTTCACTCTGCTGCCGTGACAGTCTCAGCAGCCTTGACGTACCAGCATTCTCTTCAGCTTCCTTCTCAGGCAGGTTGATGTACAACTGTTGCAGATCAGTTTGCCCACTCTTTTCATCACACTCCTCATCCAACATGTCGTGACCAACACCATCATTCTCAAGCGCCATATCTTGGTTTGACATCTCTGAACTACTCGACTGTAAATTCTCTGTTGACGGGTCTCCGTATCCATACATTGCTAACAATTCCTCTAATGGCATATCCCCTTCCCGCTGCAGGTTAGACAGTTCAATTTGAGGGTCTTCTGATCCTTCCAATGCTTCTTCTTCATCCAGTGTTCTTTCATCATCAAAATCATTCACCATCATCTCCACAGGGGGATCAAATTCCTTATCCACTGTGCTGCAGCAGCTGGCAACTCCAGGTCCTGAAACAAAATACAAACTTTTTAAACACCAATTTTCATTAATTGCACAGTACAATGGTTTACAACAAACATCATGGCAGTACAATCATTTTAAAATTGAAGTTTTAAATACTACTGTCTGTTCCTTGATTCATTTCACAAGACACTGCCAACTACAGTAGTTTAACAGTATCAAAAAAGAAATAAAGGTATATATAATTTCAAGCTTTCATGGTGACTGAATGCAATGAAGTCTTTTTGGACAATGGAATAGGTTTCTGTTTCAGACTGTCTCAGCCTCCATCAGCAGGGACTGATGTGATGAATGTTGCAGTTTGGAATGTGTGTGTGTGTGTGTGTTCAGCTGGTTCTGTCCAAGAGTGGACCAATAGGGGAACAGTGGACTGAGTCAGGCACATTCACTCATCTTACCTGAAGCCACAGTCAACATTTCTTAACCTGAAAAATCTGGCACGCCTTTTAGCACTGACCCTTCCTTCGAGAGATAATGGTTATTTACCAATGGCTCTTCTTCACTGAAGGTTGTTGATAGCTGGAATCCAGGATCAACTTACAGTGACCCCTGTGATCACTGCTGTAGTTGTTGGGACAAACCAAGATCTCTGTGACCTCTTTTGTTAAGTGATTCATGTACCCTATTGTCCTAGACTGTATTGTCATGTCTTTCCTGCATTTCAATAACTTTCAAATTCACCCAAAATGATTCTCTAGTCAGTTACAGTTAAGAGTTTTGTCAATTTTACAAGCTGTCATACCAAACACATACCTTTTTCTCATTTTGCATTCTTGTTACAAAAAAACCTCAAGATACAAAGACACTTGGCTTTTTCATTTGCTTCTATTGGGTAAACAAATTCAAGTAAATTCATTAAAATCTGAAAGGGTCAAGGCTCGACTGAAATTAACCACAGTTAACTTAGATTTGAGATGTCAACTGCAGCCACAATCTGCAAATTAAATTCACCTAGTAGCTTTTAGAGTAGACCCAAATTACCAAATTTTATCAAAATCCACCAAGTGGTTTCAGAGATGAAATATGCAGTGAGACACAACCTCCTGATCATGTGTTCACTTTATGCAATTTCTGAAACACCAAATAAAAATGAATGTATGTAAGCTTTCATATTACCTGTAAAGATGGCGAAAAAATTAAGGCTGAACGGCATCGAAGGATTGAATATTAAAAATAACCAAACAAACAAACTGTTAACACTTATATACGACACTAGTGCCAAACGCATTTTGACCTCAAGAGGTCAACATCAGTGGCAAAAGGGAAATTAATTCATATAATCAAAAAATGGTTTTAAAAAACAAACCATGAAGGTGAGTTATTTACAAAACCATAATAAGTAACACTACACTAGATGTTGGTTTCAAAAGTGTGTTATCTTGAAAATCTTTTAATAATAAACAGGTGGAATTAAATTGGAAGCAACTTCGTTAAAGATCCACATCACTGAAAAATTCCTACTTGTTTCCCATTTATTTAATGTAAGTTCCATTAAAAAACATATAAGTAAGGAAATGTATGCTGTGTAACAATTCTGATGTATTTGTTGTGCTACTGCCTCTAGATTGTCAGGCTGGAATACTCTTTTATAAGCAGCCACAAGGGATGTTTGTACTGTCAAAACATAACCTGATCTTTTAAAATAGTACCCGTCACATCGGTATTGTCTGATGTCAATGACCTTTGTATAGGAAGGGTGCCCAATATTTGTCTGAAAGCATGATGATGTCATCACGGGGATTCCCCCATTCAGGCACACAATGAGACTTTCACAAGCAGTATGGTATCAGCCCTAACAATACAGAATATCCCAAAAAGGATACAAAATGCTGACGTACGTAATGTTTGTGTGTATACAACTTTTTGAGACGATCTGTAGATATCTTTTCATGTGGCGGAATGCTTCACCTGACATACACAAAGTTTGCTTTCAAAAAGAAGCACTGTTTATCCTCGCAATATCAATGAATAAGAATCAGAGAATTGTTATTAATAGCCTAAAATCACAAAGTTAAAAAACACACGGCAATTTTAATCATCCAGAACAGAGAGTCAAGGAATAATTAATGTCTTCAGTAAACTGAAATGTCAGTCAGTAAAGTCATATTCAAATATGCAAACACACCACAAAAAATTCATCCACAACTCAGTGGATTATGTTAGAAGGACATTTACAAAATGACAAAGATTTAACTTATAATTATATTACTCTTGCTGCCACCAGTATGAAAAATAAACATAACGTTAAATGTGATACCACTTATGAAATTCATTTGAAAGTTTGTTCGACGGATGACAGAAGCACGATGAAAGCTGTAGACTTTAAAAAAATATTAAATTAAATATTCAAATGCAGGTCATAAGATGCAAACCATGAAGGGCAGTCAATTATTATGATCCACACTGCCAACCAATCAATTCCCAATGTAACAATTCAGAAAAATTACAGCATGAAGAAAAAAATGCATACACTGATATAAGTTTTGTTTAAATAAAATACAAAACTGCCTTAGTAAAATATTTAGGTCAAGAATAAAAGACCCCTCCTGCATTGGACAAAGTAACAATAAATCACAATGATAACAATTCTTTGGTGGGAATAATCTAGAGCAGAAAGAAGAAGAAAAAAAGATGAGACAAAAATTTTATACGGAATATAACCTTTATTGACTGGCTCGAATTTTTATCTACAACACATATTTTTCGACAGTGTATATAATGAAGTATGTGTTAAGGATACTTATATACCATGTACATATGACACCTCTTAAAGCCTAATCTAAATACTCCATTCAGAATTATGCCAGATGCAAAATGTATGATAAATTCTTATTGTCAATATGCCAGACAAGACAAGAATTTGGACACTGCAGATGTGTGTACATATATGAGAAATGTGTTTGTTTACGGATCCTTACTCCAACATAATTCCCAGCTTTTCTATGTTTAGGATTAATTTTAATCCAATCAGGTTTTCTCCTTTAGTTTCAGCTGTTAACTTTTATGGTGTCTATAAGCACTTTCACTGTCAAAAATATTATCAATCTTTCCAGCAAGAACAGCTGAAAATGGGTGAATAATACAAAAAGATAGAGATAATTATATACCATCATGATTGAGGGCCCAGATAAAAGAGTGAAACTGTATACACTATGATCCTCCATCAGGTATCATATATATGGCAAAGACAATAAAAACTAATACACAAAGAAAGATCAAAAACTGCTTTGTATAATGTTTAATTTTTATAAAGAACTAAAGAAATAAGTATTGAAGTAAAATCAAATGCCAGTGATGTGTATACATTTTTCTCCAGTTACCCAACAATTAAAATTGGTAATATTCTTTTTATACAGGAAGCAAGCAAAAGAGGAAAGAAATATCCGAAACGAACGTTATACGATATGTACATAAGCAGAAAACAAGAGGAACACAGTCAACTGATGATTTGTCTATTGTGACTCCATACAGGCTTGTAAGTTTCATTTTGGATAAAAATATTACCTGCATCTTCATCACAGTTCTACCCTAAAGATTAAGGTGATATTCCTCTGAAATGTTTGTTACCACCTACAAGTGTATGTGGCAACACAATCTAGAAGACACCAACCGACACCTTCAAAGCTGTCTCATCAAGAGGAACACGCCCTACTATAAAAATTTTGATAAGAACTGCTGAACTGAGTAATGACATGTATCACGACTGGTTGGAAGTACGATTCAACACTCACGAACATGACTTACATCCCATGTCTTGCATCCATGTCCTGCATTGTGAACTGCTTTCAAGTAGTATCAGGACTGACAAATTTCTTAGGACACAATATTTTTTTCACAACTTGGAGGTTCCAACTTATGGAAGTGATCTGCAAAATGATAAAAATGCATTAAAACAAAAACAGCCACAGGGTTTTACGTATAAACCAAGAAGAGACAGGAACTTATGAAGGCCTGTAAGATGGTCAAATCAATCATAAGTTCTGAGCCAAAGCAGTAACAGAGACTCATTTCTGATGACGAAGAACTTATATTTAATGTATGGGAAAATTTTGTCCCAAACAGCAGTAGAAAGTTAATACTGAGGACACTAACTATGTATGCATATATATATATATATATGGAAATGTATGCATCAGTTTTGTGTTGTCATCCTTGGTGCACTTCTTTGGGCCATCTGTCATGTGTCATTCTTTGGATATGTCTGTATCATACTGATTATTCTGTTTGTACATAACCCAAAACAGAATTCTGTAAACCAATTTTTTCTCTATTTATATAATTTGAGATTTTGTCTTTGCTAATCCCCTTCCTGGACAACTCCAGCACCAAAAATTAATTAATTTTGTTTCAAAATTCCACACTTCTGAGCCATACAGCATAGGATAGCAATAAATAACTATGTAATGATATGATAATGCACACGATATAGTCATGGCTTATAAAATTAAAGCAAAGATAACACTGGAAGCTCTCCAAAGTCCACATGCCATCTCAATCATATAAATCAATTTTACAAACAAGTACAAATTAATTTGCAACCCATTAAAATACACTCTTTTTCACTACCTCTATTTTTCTGACATTATAAGCACATTCCAAGGACAAGGATATATTTTTGTGTTCTCTGAACGTAATCATATGTGAAATTATTTATTGTACTCACCACTGAGAACTTCAAATCCTATTTAAATGAGATTTAATTAGTTTATTGCTTCATCAGTGCTTTGTTTTTTTATGATATCCAATATTAATGTATGTTGATCTACTGGACAAATAAATTAAGGCATACCATTGCTTTCAAATCTCCATATGGTAGGATAAACTTCATATAAACTTCTTCCTACAAGTTACACATTTTGTACTGTTTACATGCCTGTGTTTATCTTAATTTCAAGTATGCATCTGTAAGGAGTGAAGGTCTGGACTTTCATTTGTATACCTTCTAAAAAAAACCTGTGGGCTCGCTTTCTGTCCATGTGGATGGTGGCAGCTTACAAGCCAACAGACAGCCATGCATATCCAAGACATAAAACCAAGCGATAAATACATATTTGTTTTGTACAGTATATTCCAAATTCTGACATGAACTAATATATTTACTCACTTTTTAACTAGTGATTCTGATATGTGGTCTATTGTTTCTATTATTTAAGGTTTTACTTTTTAACAAATCAACCAGATTCAATGTGCAGAACTCATTAGTTATGACAGAAAAGGTGATAAAAGTCACAGAAATAAAATAACAAATTTACATGAAAATTTGATATATTATAAAACCTACAACTTTTTCTCTCCACAACATGGGCTTAAACTGAAGAAAGTAAGATTCTAAATCATATTAATCCACCCCAGTTTCTAAACAATCTGAAAAGTTCTGAAATTCTAAGAGTGACACATTCTGATAACAGATATGACATAAAATTACATCAGAAATGGAACATTATACTGATATAAGTAAAACACAGAAAGTTACAGGTATGCACTACTTTTTAACAACCAATATCCATCAACATTTTTGCTCGAATCTCTGGAAGGATCACACAAGGTCAGACAGAGATCTCAAAATTAACTCACTTTCTTGACTGCCCCGCTAGGGATGGCTCTAGTCCTGGGAGAATTAATTCACTGTTCCCCCTTGGTTACACATAATGCATTTGAAACAAATGGCAACCAAACATGCAATAGTGTTTAGTCTGAACATTAATGAAAGGCAAATAATATGAAGAAAAACAAAAGAACATATTCACCAGCTGGAGGTGGCGGCAACAAACACTGTGGAGATTTAAGTTTGTGTAACTTCTGAAGATGCTGTAATTCGGTCATCTGGATGACAGAATCAGTGGCTGCAGTGGGTGAAAATAATACCTCCTAACCATCTGTAACAATAAGACAAACGATCTGTACAGAAAAAATCTATAGAACAAAACTTCGGAACATGCATGTACATAATACAATAAAGGTGTATTGTACTCTTAAGTTAGGTTAGAGTCCACATTTATATTACATTACTGAAGACTACTTTCCGACCAAATACTTCTGCACAAGTGTTTCTGTAAATAATGCTAAAACGCATTGTTACGTATAAATAAACTCTGTATATTTTTCACCAAATACAAAGACATAATTTACCTTACACACAACTTGATTTCACGTTTAAGAAAATCTTTTTAACAGCCTGTTTGATCACTACACCGCCTTCCAAATTTTGTTCGGGTTAAACTGTAAGAACAAAATTAAATGTTGCACAACGTTTTCAAATGCCATACAAACACGGGTAACAAAATATGATGTTTCAGTATTTGAATAATTACGTCAATCTTACGAACAGAGTGAAGGCAAATACACCACAATTCCACCACTTGTTTACACACAGAGCATTTTTCAATGTGTATCAACAAGTCTCGAGCAGCATATAGTCACGTGATAAAATGTTAACTTAATCACAGTTTTCAATCATCTATACCGAAAGTTTAACAGAAGAAGACTAGAAGGCAGATATAAAAAAAAAAGTTGTAATTTGGATGACGGTAGCACGACCAGGAAATTCTCCTCTCATAATAATTTTTAATGCATGTTGTATGATATTCAGACTAGAGACGCATACTCTATGGTTTCATCCGACTTGAAGTTCCTCACTCGTTATTAACAGAGAATATCATCCGTGAAATGTAGGATCCGTGGAGAAATCCGTTTGTAGGTGGTTGGTACGTAGCCGTCATGGAGGTTATTCGAACGGATTGCTCGTTATCATTGTCTGTCCAAGATCAACGAGAGGCAGTTACCATCACTGAATGTTGGATATTTTTTTCGAGGGTGCATGGTGCAACTCAGAAGACTGTAAACACCGTATTTTAAAAACGGAGGCGGCTGTTCCCCTTTAAATGAACGAACTGCCTGTACAATTTATTAATGACATTTGCTTGATAATAATTTACGATGGAAATGAAGTCAGTACCCTGCCCAGTGTGTGGTGGTTCAGAGTACTACAAGGATTCTGGGTTTTACTTCTGTACAGAATGTCAAACTCAGTCACAGGTATAATGAAGTATTTTGTAAAGGAAAAGTGTGCTGATTCTTGACTATTGAATCAAAAACCACATTACCTACAGGAACTTTCCCATATAGATCTATATGTTCATGGTCATTTGATGCTAAATATGCTGTGCAGTTCATATTGTCTCTGATCAGAGTTATCCTTCCTTGTGTTCATAACTTCATGGTAGAATTCACTGTGACAAGTGAAACAGGAACCAAAATTTATATACTTTTTTAAGAGAATATGCAGTTTGAAATAGTCTTCTTTCTTGCAATCACAGGATGCTTCTGTCTGTGAATAAGTTTATTACTAGAAACTGTCTTTTCAGGAGCTGCATGAACAAGTTTATGAGTACAGTTTTACTGGTATTGCAAATACAAGCACAAGAGTTCTTAAAAAAAGTTGTAATACAGAAAAAGAAAAATCTGGTAAGTATTTTTGTGCATGTGCCTGATTTACAGGAGATGCATTTGTACTTCCCACAATTTAGTTCTTGTATTAAAATTCTAATGGTGTAAAATCAAAGATTATGAATTTATGATTAAGTTTCTATTCTTTCGTCATTTTTTCTTGCCCATTAGAACAAAATGCATGTTTAGTTTAAATACCTTCTGGATACTTGTTGAACCATAATTTTTTATTTACTGGAAAGTAAAATTTATGGATTTGATTTTAACATAAAATTGTTTCTAAGCTGATTGCATTGAATGTACAGAACTTGGGAGCTTTGCAAACAGCTTGGGAACCACTTCACTTTTATGACTGATAATACTGGTATTAATTTATTGTTTTTATTTTAGATGGAACAGATGAATGGACATCATGGGAATATTATAACTTCATATTGAAAGGTTTAGTTGATGAGTTGATTGGCCTTGGAGCCAACAGGGCACTTAAAATTGTTGTACTGCAGTTGTGGGCTACATACCTCAAGAAACTTGAGGTGGCTTTTACATCAGTCACAAAAACAAACATACCTAAATTGGGAATTAACTACCATCCCAGGTAATACATAACTTTGATTTTATTTTTAATAGGTAAAACAAATTATGAACTCATGTTGCATTATTTGTAAGTTATAAAAAATGTTTGTTGTTGTTATTGTTCTTGCTGGTATTGTTGTTTCTACCCTTATTGATTCAACTACCAGTTATTAATAATGATACCCATAGAATAGAAAAACTGAAACTAGCCTATTGTGACTCATCAGATTTTTTATATAAGTTCAGTTCACCATCTCTTTTTATGTATTTCTTTCCATTCCATTTGGCATACACAGTGAGATATTTATGAAATTAACATCAAATTGCATGCACTGTTTACATTCCTGATTCTTCGTGCACACTCAGTTTGAACCATGATCTCCTATATTGTACAGAAGTTCTCTGATTCCTTATTAATTCTTTCATGGTGGATTATTTCTTTGCTGATTTCTTAAGGCACTAATTTTGTGGTAAAGTATGAAGTCATTATGAGGATTAGATTATTATGTACATATATATGTTCAAATATTAAAAATCAAAGTTTTGATGCTGTGTGGATTCTTAGGTAGACAGCAGTGTTTCAGACAAATATACTGTCTGTTTTTTTCTGAAATGTTGGTGTCTAAACAGATACTGGAGTCTTAACTGTTTAAATGTTGTTTTTCATCTTTTTTTTCTAGAGATGCAAAAGTACTATATGGCTATGTTGTTAAGGAGAAGAAGCGGAGCAAGAAAAAAGCACCCAAGAGATCCATTTCAGAGATATCTGTGGCTACTTTTTCAGTAAACTTCAGTGACTCTGATCCTAACTTTGCTAAACGTCGTCTTCGTAAAACTAAAGTATGGTGTCAGCTATGCCTTACTGTTTTTTTATAATTTGTTTCTGGTTTTTTGCAGGTGGATCATATCATAGCTTTTAATAATTTTCAGTCTTTGAGTGCCATATTTTAAGGTTATGGTATACACTCTGGTAAATAAGACTGGATTGTGTTCTATTGGACTACTAAATTTTTCAAATGCATTCATCAATTTTGCATGTATCATTGGTCCTGATGTTTGTATCACAATACAAATCTGTTATCACAAAGCTAATCATACAGCAGATGTCATACTGCACAGGCAAATTGTGTTTCCTTGTTCTTTATTAATATTCTACATATCATATTTTACATAGTTGTAGATTTTAATGAAATTTTCGTGTTTTGTAGTGTACATATTCATTTTTTTGTGTGATCAGCAATGTCTGAGAAAACTGATATACTGATCGAGTTCAGCTTCATATAAAGTGAGGGTTATACTGGACCAGTATGAACCACAAGTAAATTCAGTACCAAACTGTTAGTACAGTACCCCAAAACCAAATGAGTCTGATGTCCATCGAGTAATTTCGGAGATGAAATATGGTGATGAGCAAATTGACCTTGACAATGTTGGTGAAATGTTATTGTGAAGAGATGTTTTCTTTGTAGCTGATAAATGTCTGTTATTTTCATAATCCACAGAAAATACTCGTTGAGGAGGACTATGGCAAGCGTGCTGAATCATCGGTTGATGTGATGAGTGAGTTTAATGAAAGTATGAGGAGCCTTGAAACATCGTCTAGGGGACAAGTAATGTCTGATCATGAAACGGTCCCAGACTGTCCAAGGTACTGATAAATAAAATATTTAATATAGAATAATAATAGTGTTATTTAGTTTGAGTTTGTTATTTTTATTAAATTAAAATTAAATCCGCAGAATAACATCTCCAGAGAGCCAAAGCCGACTAGCTTGACTGCTGGCCTCACGTTCACATGCCTAAGCAGAGGTGAACAATCATCCAACCAGGTATAGGGTGACGTGTGGTCAGCACGATGAACCCCCAGCCATTGCTAGTTTTCATAACCAGATTACGCTACTCATTGTAGCTCCCCAATTTCCTCATGATGCTGGGTTACACTGGTCAAAAGCTCATGAGAAAATTTCTTCTCCCCCGAGACTCTAACCAACGCGCATTCCGTATCGCCGGTCCGAAGCATGATGCCTCAGACCGTGCGGCTATGGTGCGGGACTTGTTATTTTTATTACTCATACATATTTTCAAATCCCTGGTTAGTTCATTGCAGACTTCTGGGCATAAGTGGTGATTCTTTAATTTTTATTATTTTGGCTCATTGTTTTTACTTGGAATATGGACAACTATGAAAACCTGAAGTTTGTGATCAGTTATTTTGCGTGGCTGATACCTCATGCAGTAATAACCTCATAGTCACATTTAACTGTATGATACAAGGCCTTTCTTGTGCATTGACTTATTTATATAGCTGATCAAAATCTTTCCTGACGTGGACCACTGAATGTCCATCATCAGAAAATCCCAACACAGACTTATCCTGAGTTATGTAAGTTCAGTTGATATATTAAAGAATTACTCTTTATTTTGATCTGATTTAACATTATCCTTTCATCTTTCCTTTGTTCCCTATTACATTGTCAATTAAGAAAATTATCATCATTGTGTTTTATGAAAGTTTTTATTTGGTTCAAAATGTAGATGGTGGCAGATACATCACTGCTTTTCTTTATAAAATAATGAAAATAGACAACAACAAAAAAGGCAAAATATTGAAGTAGTCTGAAAATTAATTATTTTATTTTACAGGCTTGAATTTTCATCTGCAGCGTGTCAGCTACGTTCTGAGCTGTACAAAAAACGTGATTTATCTTCTGGCAAAGCAAGCAGCAGCAGCAAGAGAATAAGTAGCTGTAAAGTTCTAAAGTCAACGAATCCAAAAATTATTTCACGCATCAAATTATTGGCAATTCTGCATATAGCTCTGAGAATTTTACAGGAAAATATATATCTGAGTGATTTATTGAGGTGAGTAGAATGTAAAAATAAAAAAAATGAAGAATACAATATACATTACCAAAACTTTCATATTTGTAGCATGTGCTGAGAATAAGGAAAACTTCTGGATACCATTGTCTTGTGGAGCACATGGTCTTCAAGATATGTTCAAAAAGTTTGCTGACTTATTTTTTTATACATTTTGCATTTGGATTGTTCGTGCTCTCTGTTCCAAAGTAATTCCCTTCTGGCCTGATAAATTAGTTAACTTACTGTTTTACCCACTTTTATTCATTTTAAAATGGGTGTGCATACACATAAAAGGGGTAAGCCTATTTTTTTAAATTCTCATGTTTCTCTTTTACAGGTGGGTAGAAGAAGGTGAACTGTCATTCTATGAAATAACTCATTTCCTCCCTCAAGATGTTAAACTGAAAGGCCATGATCTCATGACATTTGGCCTCTCTAGTAAAAGACCTTCGTATATTGGCATAAGCACAACAGCAAAAGAATTGGCAGTGTATTTAGAAGCCACTCGTATGCCAACGCCTGATTTGTTGTCTCTGGCCAGAAGGTATATTGATGAATTACAGCTACCAGGTGTGTGTTTGATATTATGTGCACCAACAGATTTGTTTTTATGTTCGGGGTTTAATTAAATTTACATATGGTGATTTTTGTATAATAGAAGTGCTGTATATCAGGTTTCATCACAATCTGTCAAAGAACATAAAAGTTCATTTCAGCCCTTATATAAACTTGAATGTAAACTGAATTATACTGAACGAAACTTGCACTCTTGTAATAAAATCTTTATTAAAAATGCCTTAGATTTAAAAACTATATTTCTGCTTCTACTTGTTCTTCTTCTTCTTCTCCTCTTGCACTACAGCCCTTGGTGGGCTCTGGCATCCCAAACAATATGTCCCCATCTCTTCCTATCTTGAGCTAACTTCTTCCAAATCTAAAACTTCTTGACGATGGTGAAGAGTCAATTGAATAAAAATTTACTTGGATATTATCCATCGTCTAGTAATAAAACGTAAAAAACGTAAAACGTCAAATGTGGCAGTCTATCCTCTCCCATTCTGACCACATGTCCCGCCATCTTAACCGTTGTGATTTACTATATCTCACAACGTGCTCATGATGGATCAATTCTTCTAACTCTGCATTATATCTAATTCTATATTATCCATCATTATTCTTTAGGGGGCCAAAGATTTTCCGTAGAATTTTCCTCTGAAAGCACGTTAACTTGCTTTCCACTTAGACGTGAGTTTCCAAGATTCTGCCCCATAATTTATTACCGGTTTAATAAGTGTCCCGTACAGTTTTAACTTTGTGGTCCTGGAGAGAATTTTAGATTTAAATAGTTCTATATGTGCATAATATTGCCTGTTTCCAGCTTGGATCCTGTGTTTGACTGTCTTCTCCTCCTCTATTAAAAACTATGCATCAAAGTTTATCTGAGCTTGTAAGTAAACTGGTCCTTACTTAAAATGAACCAGGAAAAACAAAATAAAAATTTCTCAAGAAAACTCATTTTAAGTCAGCTGTACTGGGTTTAATTGAAATTTACGCTGTCAGTCGAGCACTGCTACTTGCTGGATTTTAAGTCAGCTGTACTGGGTTTAACTGAAATTTATGCTGTCAGTCGAGCACTGCTACTTGCTGAAAATCACGTACAGTCTGTGACTGTAATCTGGGGACTTGCGGGGTGAAGGAGGAAGGATAGCATCTGCCTTTAACGCTACAGACTTCCTGCATTCCTCGCAAGTCTCAAGATTACAGTCATGGACTGTACATAGTTTTGTATATGGTTGACTGACTCCGTGGAGCAGAGTGTTATTCTTGACAAGCTGAGAGGAACTCCATGCATTTTATGGAACCAAAAGGTTCATAAACATTTTCACAAGATTTTGTTTTTAGAGCATACGTGTCAAATGATTGGTGCAGTTTTCCTCCATTATTTTGTGATGCTTTTTATCGGCAATAGTTCGTTATTAATATTGTTCCTTGAGTATTGTTTTTATCAGAGATGGCAGCACATTAAAACAAGTAAAATATTATCAATCACAGATGTTTCTGTGTGTGTATTCATTTTTGCACTATATGAATACTTTCAGGTATGTTTAACCCACATTTATGTGCACATAAAACACTGAAATTGCCATTCATGTTGTTTAGAGGTTAAATCTCATACATTAGTATTGTATCCAGCTTTCATGTTCAGTGCTTTACATGTTATAATTAATGGATTTGTTTGAATGTATTGTAGCTGAAATTGGGAAATATGTGGAGTGCATAATGGGAATTTTACCTCCACCATTGGAATTCAACAGGCCTCTCAAACATTTTCCCAACTATGAGGGTCGTGCAATGGCATTCATAATATTTATCCTTAAACTTCTACTTGGACTTGATGGAAAGACTGAATATGAGATATCAAAAGTCACCAGGAAACTTAATGAGTAAGTTGATTGATTAGAAAATACTTATGATACAGGAGTTATTTACACCATTCATTAAAAATGTATCATGATATCTGCTACCTTTTGCTATTGTCCATGACGACTGGCATCTTATTTTATCAAATAACCAGAAGGCACAGATTGGATGAAAGTCTCATGTTTAGAAAGTTCTCAGGGTTGGGACAGTCATATCTATGGGGCAGTACGTGATTACAGATAATGTAGGGCTATTGCAGTGTTTTGCAAAGAAGTAGTAGGCATGCCAGTAGATGCATTATAACTTTTTCCTCTTCAGAAACATTTAAACATGTGACAATTTTGGCAGTTTTTGTTTAAACTTTTTGTCAGTACACTTGTGTAATTGGAATTTATACTTGCATATAACTGTTAATAGTACATAAATTTTATTGCTTATTTTAATTAAGAAATGCCAACTGTATTACTCTTAATTTTACTGTGAAATGTAAAATCTGTCACACTTAAATTTACTGTATAATTTACTGGAATTGTCTCTGATAATTTCAATATTGATACTAACCAGTTGGACTAATTGACTTCAAAGAATTTAGCTGATTTGTAATTTTATTTCATTAGTATCCCAAATGGGGTCCGCAGTGGCCGCGCGGTCTGAGGCGTGGGCTTTGTGCCGCTTGGTCGCTGGGACCGTGGGTTCGAATCTCACTCAAGCCACGGATGTTTGTCCGCGTTTTTCTGTGTCGTGCTGTCCTGTGTACAGGTAGACGCCTCACGACGGACCGATCCCTTGTCCAAGGAGTCCTACCGAATGTCTATAGATCGAGCCAACGCAAAAAGTTGGGACCTGCAGTGCTCATGCACTTGAAGAAAGTGTCGTTCCCAGTATCCAGTATCCCAAATATGAATTTGTTTACATGACTCTTCAGAAAAGTTCAGCATTCTCTCTTACTTCAAAGACAGATAGTCTCTCATTGCTATGAAGGAAAGCTCTCATGTCTGTCAGCTACTTTTACCTAAAGCAAAGGAAATCCATTTTTCTGGCACTTTCATGCATGCATAAGGTTTAATCAGGTAACTTTAATGGTATGGTACAAAACATAATTTATTTGTTGTGCTTTTCTGTTATTGGTGTTTTGTCATAGGTTGTCTGGAAAATCTGCAGCAATGACAAGGTTATTTGTGTGGGAAGAATGGGTACAGTACATTGAGTGTCGCAAGTCTGTTCTTGCTCGTTTTCACTTTCCTACACAGGCGACACATCACCAAGGGGAATTCAGCGACCCTGGCTGTTATGTCAGGTTTTGGGAAAGAATGAAGGCAAAGGATTACAAGAGACATGAAAGATTACAGTTCGGAAAAATATCTAGTATGTACCACTTACTGTTACTGGTTCATTTAAATGAAGGAATGAGGATACATAAGTATGCCAAAATTATGAGTCAGTTAGTAGTTGTGCATTAATTATATGCCTTAGTTGTAATTTAGAGTATTACTTTCAAGGATATATGGTGAATTCAACTGATTAGCAGTATTTTTAGATTAATAATGAGTACAAAAACCCTGTTGATTAAATAACTAAAGATGTGAATAACGTTTAATATTGTAGAGTTTAGATATCATTGATGAGACAGGCTGTAAAACTTGCTCAGGCCATTTTACATGTTTTCCAGCTAAGTGCCGTCGTTTAAATAAATTCTGCATGTATATATTTTCCTAAAACTTTGTTAAATGGACAGAGAAAGTTTCTGAACAACTCTGAAATTTATGTTTAACTTTTAAGAATGGTAAGAAATGTTTGTAACATTGTACATTCTGAAGGAATAACACAGATTGAGTATGAAGATTTCTGTCTTCTGGGTTGT